TTAGATATTTAATTAGTCTTTATTAAAGAGACTCTGGGTTGAATTTTTCAATGTATTTAAAATAACAAATAAAATTTAAGTTGAACAATCTAGTCCTTTTTGACATTAAACAAAAAAAGGGCTAACAAACACACAATTGGGTAAAACAGTTCAGAAAGGTGTAAATTGAGAAGTTCTCTCTCTCTAGTTTTCCCCCTTACATACTGTAAACTTCCCAGTTACAACTACTTTTGACCTGTTTTTGGATGTCCTTCTAAAAAGTAGTTCTGAGGATTTTAAACTGAATATTAAAAACTTGGGCCATTATCAGTCAAGTTCTTTGGCAATCAGTGTGTTGTTATATGCTGACTTTTTGTTAGGATTAATAATACTTTGTTTATAGCTTCTCTACTCTGTATCAAATTGAGCCATTGTTTATGTAATCATTGAGATGTTGTTCTTTATCATATACCAATTTGCAAACCACTGTGTATTTTGCTATACTTTAGAGGACTTCAGTTCATGAAAACGTCCATTTCATTCTACTGATTCTCATTGTCATCTCTCAGCTGTAGTGTTAATAGCTGCTAAAAACATTAAAAAGATTTGTTGAGCACATTAGTTATAACTTATAAGATGTTATTAAATGTGAGAGATCAATTATTTTATTATGCATAAATTTAACATGTTCAAAAGAGGAAGAATGATTTGACTTTTTAAGAAACAGTTTCTTTTCAATGAAGGGTAATCTTTAAATGCTCTCTATAAAGTAGTTCTGACAAAAGCTGAGAGCTTCATTGAAGAGTGAATGAATGACTATACTTGTAATCATCAAGTAGTGCCATCCTTATCAAAACATCTTTAGCAAAAAAAAAAATGGAGATGTCCATATATACTACTGAAGTTTTAGTTTCTCCATGTTGAGTATAGTTTACAGTTTTAGCTCAGGCATTAATTATCTCTGTGACCTAATGCTAGTCATTTGTGTTCTCCTGAATTCAGTTTCTTTATCTACAAGTTGAGGGATTTGAACAAAATGATACTAGCCCCTGCATCACTTCAAAATAAAAAGAGGAATCAAGATATTTTCTGGGTTGGCTCAACAAAGTTGAAAAGTAAATTTTTTTTATTTCAAATTAAAAAATATTGTTTTGGTCTGAAAATGTGGGTGTCCCTATGCATATGTGTAGTCAGGCAGGTAGTTGAAAGGCTGTCTTGGTCCATTTTCTGCTTCTGGAAGAAATTACATGAGGGGCTGGCGCTGTGGCTCAGTGGTTTAAGGCCCTGGCCTGCAGTGCCACCATCCTGTACGGGCGCTAGTTCAGGTCCTGGCTGCTCCACTTCTGATCCAGCTCTCTGCTATTCTGGGAAAGCAGTAGAGGATGGCCTAAGACCTTGGGCCCCTGCACCCACGTAGTAGACCTGGAGGAAGCTCCTGGCTCCTGGCTTCGGACCGGCTCAGCTCTGGCCATTGTGATCATCTGGGGAGTGAATCGATGGATGGAGGATCTCTCTCTCTCGCGCTCTCTCTCTCTCTCTCTGGCTGTACCTCTCCTGTAACTTTATCTTTCAAGTAAATAAAAATGGGTCTTTGAAAAAAAAAGATATTACATGAGATTGGGTAACTTATACATAAAACTTTATTTGCCTACTGGTTCTAGAGACGGAGAGGTCCAGAAGCATGTCTCTGGTATCTTGGGAGAACATTGTTGCATATTCTATGGCATAGAGGCAAGGGAACACATGCAAGAAAGCTAACTTTTAAAATAATGCACTCTGTGATCTTCTGTATATTAGGATAATTAAAAATGAATCTTGCCGGCGCCGCGGCTCAATAGGCTAATCCTCCGCCTGCAGTGCCGGCATACCGGGTCTAGTTCCAGTCGGGGCGCCGGATCCTGTCCCGGTTGCCCCTCTTCCAGGCCAGCTCTCTGCTGTGGCCCAGGAGTGCAGTGGAGGATGGCCCAAGTGCTTGGGCCCTGCACCCTCATGGGAGACCAGGACAGGCACCTGGCTCCTGGCTTCGGATTGGCGGGATGTGCCGGCCGCAGCACACCGGCTATGGCAGCCATCGGGGGCTGAACCAACAGCAAAAGGAAGACCTTTCTCTCTCTCTCTCTCTCACTGTCCACTCTGCCTGTCAAAAAAATTTTTAAAAAAATAAATCTTGATGAGGAATGGTATGGGAGCGGGAGTAAGAGGTGGGATGGTTTGGGAGTGGGAGGGTGGGTGTGGGGGGAGGAGCCACTGTGATCCAAAAGTTGTATTTATGAAATTTATATTTATTAAATAAAAACTTTCTATAAAAATAAGTTAAATAAATAAAATAATGCACTCTGGTAATAACTAACTCATTCCTACAGTACCCCAAACCAGCATGAATCCCATCAATGAGAGCAGTACCTGCTAATCTAATCACCACTTAAAGGTCCAGCTTCTTAATACTATTATAATGGCAATTAAATTTCAATTTTGGAAGGGATTTTTAAATCATTGCAAAGTATAGCCTCAAATAGGACCTTTTGTGCCACATCCAGATGTATCCCTGTCACATCTCTAGATATATCTCTTGACATTAGGAATAACCCAAATTGCAAAGGTAAATCAGGATGTTAATTTCAAACAAGTGTGAATAGGAATTGTACTTGAAGTAATAAAGCTTTTTACACAGAAGAAGAAGAATTGACTTGGGAGTTCATTTCTTCAAATAACAGAAATTCTGTTATTGGCCTTTTCTTTTTTAAGATTAACTTTATTTACTTGAAAGGCACAGTTACAGAGAGAGGAGAGACAGACATACTGAGAGAGAGAGATCTTCCGTCTGCTGGTTCACTTCCGAAATGGTGGAAGCCAGGAGCCTGGAGCTTCTTCCGGGTCTCCCACAGGGAAATTGAAAAGAAAGGGGGAAATAGTACTTTAGTATGATCAAGGACTAAGCACCAGTGAACAGAAAACTTGTTTCAGACTTTGTAAGGACTGTTTTGCCCCTGCTTCTAGAGTGTAGTTAAGACTCCAGGAGTCACTACATAAAGATAAGGGTATTTACCGGAGGTCTGCACTTTGGTGAGTTTGGATTCTCGTTTCTTTCTCACGCACTCTATGAGACTAGCAGAAGTTCCACTGAAACTTCTAAGACTCCATTCTCTCCGGAATTTTTGCTTCCCAAGTCTTGGATATTTTCAAAGTCTAAACTTGAATTTAAGTTTCCCTACCCCTTGACTTCTCTGTCTCATGGTAGGCTTCCTTTGTGGGCTTCTTAGGCTATTAGAAGTCTCTTGCCCATTTTGACTTGAGATTCAACTCATGTCCTCAGGTTTACAGTAACTCAAAGAATGTTAAGCTCACCTCAGTGAGCTGGTGTGTCATCATTTATTCCATTTTATTTATTTTAGTGAAGGCAATATTGCAGTTATGCATTTGAATGAATATTTTACTGTGGATAGTGAAAAGTTTAATAAGTTACAGATTTTTCATTAAAAGGAAAGTACAATACTAGCATGCACATTGAACCCTAAACTCGAAATACTGGATTTTAAGACTCAAAATGAAAAACTACATGAAGAAAGGCATTTACAAAACTCAATAATGTTTCTCATTTTACATTTATTTTCTCTTGTCTAACAAGCCTTTTCGGATGACTGCAAGTAAAATAAAATAGTGTCTTAAAAGTCATTCACTTATATTTGTTTATGAATATAATCAAAACACAGCTAGATGTATAATTTCTGCCACTATAGATTATGAATCAGTTACTAACATAGAAGTGAACCCAGCTGCATACTCTAACCAGAGTGTTAGATGGCAAGTCAAGAATTAGCAACAAAATTTCTGGATTCCTTTCTTCCTTATGCCTTCATTTTCTTATTAGAAAGAATTACCTTTGAGGCTGGGATGGAGATATATATATATATATATATATACACATATATATATATATATATCAATGGAAGGTCCTGTGTAATTGTCAAGGAAAAAGGACTAATATTTTGAATTTTTTTATTTATTTGAAAGATAGAAAGAGATAGAGATAATCTTCTATCTGCTGGTTCACTGCCCAAATGCCCACACAGCTGGAACTGGGCCAAGCTGACATCAGGAGCTGGGTGCTCAGTCTGAGTCTCCCACATGGGAGGGACCAAATTACTTAAGTCGTTAACTGCTGTCTACCAGGATGCACAATAGCAGGAAGCTAGAATCTCAAGTGAGCCCAGACACAAACCCATGCACACCAATACTGTGTGCTTTCCAATTGTTGTCTTAACTGCTATGCCAAATGCCCAACCCAAGGGCTAATTTTTGATTTTTCTTTTGTTATTTGGAAACCCTAAGAATTTACTTCTCAAACCTCCAACAACCTGAAACAGGAACCCGGGCCCTAGCTGCTGTGCTCTGAAACCCATTGCTGCTTTTGTGCTTAAGACCTATTTCCCAAGGCTGTTCCTAGCCAGCGACTGAAGCCTACGCACCCTCTCAACCCCTGGAAGTCAAAGCACTCCCTCGTGAACTTGTTGAACCTTCCTTAGACTGTACAGCAATCAGGCATGACTCCACTTAACCTTCCTTGCCTCTGTTCCCCGCTGAGGATTAGAGTTGCACTGTGGTCTGTCAGCTTTCCCAGTTTTCCCTGGCTCTCTCCCCATTTTCTCTTACCAGAATCTCCCTTAATGAAACTGTTGCTTATTTGGCATCTGTTCTCAAATGCTCGAAACTAACATTCTCCTACTTTTTCTACAGCTAGATAGTGTCATACGAAATTTCTAAGGAGAAAAAGATGATTGCTATAACTTTACTGACAATATTCTTGTAGTACTAGATTTTTAAGATTAGGAGAGATAAAACTTCATGAAAATCTGCAGTTTTTCAGAATTTTTTTCTCATATTAGTTTATACTGATATTCTTGCTGTCAGAAGGTAGTAGTAGATCTATTTGTTGCATATATTTTGGTAGACCTTGCTTTCCTTTTACGTGATTTATTCAGGAGTATTTATTAGTGTTAAAATAATACTGTTTTTCTTTACAGAGTTACAGTGAAAGATTCGTTTTCATTGTGGAGTGGTATGATCCAAATGCTTCACTTCTTCGGCGCTATGAGCTTTTGTTTTACCCAGGGGATGGATCTGTTGAAATGGTAAATGCACCTTTTTTTTTTTTTTTTTTTATGTGAAAGCTAGCAAAGGGGAGGCAGGTGGGATAGAGAAAGTTTTTTTTTTTTTTTATGCAGTTACTTTTTTTAAGATTTATTTATTTATTTGAAAGTCAGAATTAGACAGAGAGAGAAGGAGAGGCAGAGAGAGAGAGGTCTTCGACCATGTACTGGTTTACTCTCAACTGGCCGCAATGGCCATAGATGGGCTGATCTGAAGCCAGGAGCCAGGAGCTTCTTCTGGGTCTCTCACGTGGGTGCAGGGGCTCAAGGACTTGGGCCATCTTCTACTGCTTTCCCAGGCCATAGCAGAGAGCTGGATTGGAAATGGAACAGCCGGGACTCGAACCAGCATCCATATAGGATGCCAGCACTGCAGGCGGCAGTTTTACATGTCACTCCACAGCGCCAGCCCCTGCAGACTATAATATATATATATATGTTTGTGTTTATTTTATTGTTTTTGTATATTCATTATAGTACCATACAGGAATATAACTGTGCCTTTATTTTTAATGTCAAAAATAAGAATTTTTCTTAGAAAACTGAACTGGGATTATTCATGTTTTGGATTAAGCAATAATCAATAAATAGTTTAAAGATTATCATCATCACAATATGTTGCCATCATTGAAATATATTATGTCTACAAAAGTAAAATTTGAAGAGGACTGAGCTAAGAGGGCCCTGTTTATTTATTGTGATCCCTCATTGGAATTGCCTTCAATGAATGGGTATATTTGATGTTGCAATTTTGTGTACTTAAGAAAGCAGCAATTTGGACATGTGGCTATCTTTTTTTTGGGATTTGGTAGGCCCTAAATTACTGAATGATTTGGCTAAAAAAAATTCTTTTTGAAAATATTTAGTTGTAGGGCCAGTGCTGTGGCGCAGTGGGTTAACGCCCTGGCCTGAAGCGCTGGCATCCTATATGGGCGCTTGTTCGAGACCTGGTTGCTCCACTTCCCATCCAGCTCTCTGCTATGGCTTGGGAAAGCAGTGGAAGATGGCCCAAGTCTTTGGGTCCCTGCACCCGCTTGGGAAACCCGGAAGAAGCTCCTGGCTCCTGGCTTTGGATCGGCGCAGCTCCGGCTGTTGCGGCCAATTGGGGAGTGAATCATCGGATGGAAAACCTCTCTTTATCTCTGCCTCTCCTCTCTGTGCAACTCTTTCAAATAAAAATAAATAAATCTTTAAAAAAATTTAGTTGTAATAAGAGGTTTTTAAATTATTACTAGATTAGATCATGGAATCCAAAATTAAAATCAGGGAATTAAAAATTAGAATGTGAAAAAAATGGGATTTGTATTTGCTGCGAAGAAGAAATGGAATGTAACTTGTCTGATGGCAGAAAGGAGAATTTCCATCTTGTAATAAGATTAGCATTCCTATTGATAACTATTTTTTAATTATATTGCTGTTGGTTCTAGCATGATGTGAAGAATCATCGCACCTTTTTGAAGCGGACCAAATATGATGACCTGCGCTTGGAAGATTTATTTATTGGCAACAAAGTGAATGTCTTTTCTCGACAATTGGTGTTAATTGATTATGGAGATCAATATACAGCACGCCAACTGGGCAGTAGGAAAGAAAAGTAAGAAAACAATTTCGTAATTTGTTTTTCACTATTAAAACATTATGTGTAAGCCATGGTACCAATTTCTAATTTCCTGTTGCTGTCTTGTGTTTTCACAGTACAGAGATTTTTTTCAGTAATCTACTTCAATGTTGATGACATTTTTAGAAATTTTATTAAGTAAATTCTGTGATTTGTTCATCAGTGAGAATAACAAAGTGATATCCTCAGTCTTAGGCAGTGACTATTTCCTGGGGAGAAAAGTACAAAATTCTCATATGTTCCATCATTCATTCTTAGTAAAATAAATGTCATTTGGGAACTAAGAATATCTGAATATAAAAAAATCTTGGTGCTTAAGGTAAACTTGACTTATGGGGAAAAAAGTAGTGAGTATCAAAAGCTCAATAGAAACTCAAAAGAAATAAAAGATACTTCTTATGCAAAGCTTTGTGGAAGGTTTGACCTGCATCATAAAAAATGGATTGAATTGGCCGGCACCGCGGCTCAATAGGCTAATCCTCCACCTGCGGCACCGGCACACCAGGTTCTAGTCCCATTCGGGGCGCCGGATTCTATCCCGGTTGCTCTTCTTCCAGTCCAGCTCTCTGCTGTGGCCCAGGAATGCAATGGAGGATGGCCCAAGTGCTTGGGCCCTGCACCCGCATGGGAGACCAGGAGAAGCACCTGGCTCCTGCCTTCGGATCAGCGCAGTGTGCTGGCTGCAGCGCGCCGGCCGCAGTGGCCATTGAGGGGTGAACCAACAGAAAAAGGAAGACCTTTCTCTCTGTCTCTCTCTCTCACTGTCCACTCTGCCTATCAATCAATCAATCAATAAATAAATAAAACCTTTAAAAAAATGGATTGAATTTTTACCCAGTTAGATGAAGTAAGGTCAGAGGAATGAGTATAACCAATGGTACAGAAGCGAGAAATTCTATGTCTTATACTAGGCAGAACCTAATTATTCTGCTTGAATAACTCAGTGATTAAAAATATTTTTGGGGAGCTGGTGCTGTGGGATGATAGGTTTAAGTTTCTGCCTGCAGCACTGGCATCCTGCATGAGCACTGGTTTGGGTCCTGGCTTCTCCTCTTCTGGTCTGGCTCCCTGCTAATGGCCTGAGAAATAGTGGAAGATGGCCCAAGTACTTGGGCCCCTGCACCCAAGTAAAGCTCCTGGTTTTGGCTCAGCCCAGCTCCAGCCATTGTGGCCATTTGGGGAGTGAACCAGAAGATGGAAGACCTCTCTCACTGTCTCTCCCTCTCTCTGTAACTCTGCCTCTCAAATAAATAAATAAATCTTAAAAAAAATAAAAAATACTCTTTGGTTAATTAGTAAAATAACAGCCTGAATTAGGATTGTAGCCATAAGTATAAAGAGGAAGGAATGTGTGGAATTAAGAGTAGAGTCCTAGTAGTAATGATAAACACACCACGGCTATTAGCTATTAAACTGTGAGGAAATGTGTTGAATAATTCGCATGCATCATTGAGTTAAACTCCACAAAAACCATACAAAAAAGGTACTATTATTACCTCCACTTTTGCAGATGGGGAAGTTAAAGTTTAGAGATGTCAGGAAATATGGCTGAGGTCATACAGCAAGGCAAGATGAAAGCTCATAGTTAGTCTGAATCAACAATGGGAGGATTCCGGGGCGGGGCGGGGTGGGGGGGATGTAGCATAGCAGGTAAAGCCGCCACCTGTAATGCCAGTATCCCATATGGGTACCATATCGAGTCCCAGCTGTTCCGATCCAGCTCTCTGCTATGGCCTGGGAAAGCAATAGAAGATGGCCCAAGTGCTTGGACCCCTCCCATGTAGGAGACCCAGAAGAAATACCAGGCTGTTGGCTTTGGATTGGTCCAGCTCCAGCCACTGTGGCTATTTGGAGAGTAAAACAGCAGATAGAAGACCTCTCTCTCTCTCTTTCTCTCTCTGCCTCTGGAACTCTGCCTGTCAAATAAATAAATAAATCGTTAAAAAAAAAAAAAAAAAAAAGAATCGGAGGAGTCAACCATAGGAAAATTGATAGGGTCTAGAAAATGATTGCTTTCATTCTGTCTCATTCATTTTTATGTCTCCTATGGCACTTCACCATTACAACCATCTTATCTGTGTTATCTGAGTGAACTAATGAAAAATAATTTAAAACTTTACTTTCCTTTGTCCATTTCCTCCCTGTTCTCAAATGATGATCTTTAAAATAAAGATTTATTTATTTATTTGAAAGGAAGAGTTACAAGAGAGAGAGAAAGAGAGGGCTCTTCTATGTGCTGGCTCACTCCCCAGATGGCTTCAAAGGCCAGTCCTGGGCCAGGCCAAAGCCAGGAGCTTCTTCTTGGTCTCCCATTTGGGTGGCAGGGGCCCAAGGACTTGAGTCATCTTTCATTGCTTTCCCCTGTGCATTACCAGGGAGCTGGATCATAAGTGGAGCTGGGACTTGAACTGGTGCCCATGTGATATACTTTATGAGTACTGTTAAAAAAAAGGAAATCATATTAATAAATTGTGATATAGGAAATTTGACCCCTCTTATCTTTTGCTAAAGACTGTTGTACTTCGGGGCCGGTGCCATGGCTCACTTGGTTAATCCTCTGCCTGCGGCGCCGGCAACCCATAGGCCCAGGAGGGCAGTGGAGGATGGCCCAAGTGCTTGGGCCCCTGCACCCGCATGGGAGACCAGGGGGAAGCACTGGCTCCTGGCTTTGGATTGGTGTAGTTCCGGCCATGGCGGCCATTTGGAGGGTGAACCAATGGAAGGAAGACCTTTCTCTCTCTCTCTCTCACTGTCTAACTCTATCTGCCAAAAAAAAAAAAAAAAAGACTGTTGTACTTCAAACAGTAATTTTTTTCACAGGGCATGTCTCACAAAAATTTGCTGAATTAATTAATGAATAAATGAGATTACTTTGGTAAAAATAGCTGGTATGTCTGGAGGAAGAGTTTCTGTGCAGCAGGCATTCCTGCCTTCTTCCTTCTCCCACTGCGTGGGGCCTTTGCCATGAAGTAGAAAAATTACGGTATTGTGCCCTCAGCCTGTGTCTTTATTCTTGGTCAAAGTTACATTTGTCACTCTGACTTTTCCTCAGTCTTGATTTAGAAAAGAGAGCAAGTTGAAGATGTAGCTAAAAACCAGGCTATGGAGAAAACAGAGACTTTTGATCATATTTTTCTTCTATGTATAGATTTTCACTGTTAGCAAAATGATGTTTTAACTTTTAATTTCTATGTTATGAGTTCACAAGATTCTGAGACTAAAATTGACTATATTTGCAATGAAATTTTAGTTCCTTTGTCATTTTGGGTTGGCTCTGATTTGTGTGGCTTATATTTTATATTGTTTTGTGTTTTTTTAATGTTTGTGGAATGATTGTTGCAGTACTTAAAAATTTGTATTAATGGTATAATTAAGGCTATAATGTATAAATATTCCACAACTATTTAATTTGAAAGGAAGAAAAATACCCCCAAGATGTTTTCTGATGTCTACAACCCAAATAACTAGTTGAATGCCTAACATCTGAGCGACCCCACAGTAATATGGTATTTCTTTCCATGACCTCACTAACTCTTCTTTATAAGGCCTTTGTAATTCTTGAGGTGGTCTGATGCCCAATGTGGGTTTTAATACATTGGTGGTCATGCAGGGGTAGTGAGTGCCTTATAAAAAAAGAAGACCAAGGATTCTCATTTTAACTGTGAAACAGGTGGGGGGAAATTAGTTAGTAGATAAATAGGAACCTTTTATAGTTATGAGATCTTATGGTAAATGTCTATGAGATTAAGGAAATGCCAACCATATTACTTTATTTATAAATAATAAATATCCATGGTTTCCATTTATTGGCACACACTATATGTCAGTCAGTGTGATAGGCACTCTACTTACACAGTGATATTCAGATTAACTTATTCTTTTTTTTTCTTTAAGATTTATTTATTTGAAAGTCAGAGTTACACAGAAAGAGAAGGAGGCAGAGAGACAGAGAGAGAGAGAGAGAGAGAGGTCTTCCATCAGCTGTTTCACTCCCTAGATGGCTGCCATGGCTGGAGCTGTGCCGATCAGAAGCCAGGAGCCAGAAGCTTCCTCCAGGTCTTCCATGTGGATGCAGGGGCTCAAAGACTTGGGTCATCTTCTACTGTTTTTCCAGGCCATAACAGAGAGCTGGATTGGAAGTAGAACAGCCGGGACTCGAACCAGCACCTATATGGGATGCCGGCACTGCAGGCGGCAGCTTTACCCACTATTCCACAGTGCCGGCCCCAGATTTTCTTTTAAACAAACAAAAAAGCAAATGAGTTAATGAATTAGGGAGTAAGGGTTAATAATGTGACCCAGTGAAAAGAAAATAATAATAGCCATAACAATTATAATTTTTATATTTTAATTGATTTTTCTGAAGGAAATGTTAATTCTGTAGGCTTTTTCTTTTAGGAATGGCTGAGTAACATGGTCACACTCTCACAGCTAGAAAGTAAATACAAACCAGTGTTTTTTTTTTTGTTTTTTGTTTTTTGTTTTTTTTTTTGACAGGCAGAATTAGACAGTGAGAGAGAGAGAGAGAGACAGAGAGAAAGGTCTTCCTTCCATTGGTTAACCCCCTCAACGGCCAATACGGCCGGCGTGCTGGGCCGATCCGAAACCAGGAGCCAGATGCTTCCTCCTGGTCTCCCATGCAGGTGCAGGGCCCAAGCACTTGGGCCATCCTCCACTGCCTTCCCGGGCCACAGCAGAGAGCTGGACTGGAAGAGGAGCAACCAGGACAGAACCGGCGCCCCATCCGGGACTAGAGTCTGGGGTGCCGGCACCGCAGGCAGAATTAGCCTAGTGAGCCACGGCACCGTCCCAAACCAGTGTTTTATTCTAAAAGTCATTCTATTTCTATTAAATACCTAATCAATATGCTGATAACTACTCTTGAAAATGACTGGCTTTAAAACCAGAGAAACCAAAGGATTCTATTTTTATGTGATGATGGATTTTAAGTATTTCTACTTTATAAGTGTAGTTAA